TAGTTTACTATTGTAAATACTTTATTTTACTTTAATGATTTGATTAACTTTGAAACTAACTAAAAACTTTACTATATTGTACCTAGATTTCCTATGAAAGTTACAAAAGAATATTAAAAATCTTAATATCTCTTTATTTAGGTAGTAAGGGAAATAATATTTGAATATACAGGTAAACTTCTCTTGTAATAAAAATAATCTAATAATAATGTTGTAAATTTTGAATTTACTTGGTGAAGGTAAATACAAAATTTACATGTTAAATATTTTGCATTTATCTCCACCCAGTAAATTCAAAATTTACAGCATGATAGTAATAATACTTTGATTTATTATAGTAGTTTAACTTTGATACTTTGATTTACTATAGTAAACTATAGTTCACTATAGTAAACTAGTTAAAACTACAGGTAAAGTCATCATCACAATGTCAAGGTTTTGTGATTTCGGAACTCCACACAAACCCTTGACATAAGTCGCTATTTAAAAGTTGGGCTAGAAAGCTACTATTTCATTAATTTTGTTTCTGGTCTAGGACTGGAACCAATCAGAAAACAGCTTTTATTGTTGATAAGTTTTGTAAACAAATATGACTCGTCTTTAAAATGGAAAGTGTCGATATTGTAGAATTTGTGACTAGTTACATTAAACGAAACATCGGGGATAAATTTTTCGCCCTCCTAAACATCACAAAAGATATGCTCTGGAGTTGGGCCATTTGAAAACGACGGATTTGAAAAATATATTCTCACTGGTTAGTTTATAATTACCCATTACGTCATGTGTAACCACAATCCCAACTTTGAAATAGCGACTTATGTCAAGACCTTGACATTGTGAGGATGGAGTTCCGAAATCACAAAACCTTGACATTGTGAAGATGCAGGTAAAGTTTACTACGGTATTTTACGTTAGGTGAATATATTATTTTTGCTTCTGATTTTAAGACTGAACCTTTGATGGAAGCGTATAGAATTTTAATTCCTATTAAATCCTACAGTATAAGAGCGTGTAAACTAGAGAATATGCACTGCGTGCCTGTAAGAGACAAATTAGAACTCGCTCTATGTAAATCTTATACGGTACCAATTTTGAAGCACCAGATGCGCATTTCGACAAATTATGTCTCTTCAGTGATGCTCATGCCGAAACGGTGGAAATCTAAAATATTTAAATAAAAAAAACCCAACAACTTGGAAGAACTGAAAAAAGGGGGGCAAAATACGTCGAAGGATCAGAGCTATGCATGAGGGAGATAATCCTTAATTTGACATAAATTTCAAAATTTTACCACAGCAATTAAATATTCAAGCTAGTACCGAAGTACTTATCTACTGGGCTGTAGAGCTGTACAGCATTATCAAACAATTAATCTGGTCAATTTAAGAATACTTTTATGACTTCCAAAAAATATACATAATGAAATAATGAGGATTCTGCATTCGCTGATATTTCCGGGAAAAGATTATATAAATGTCATTGATACCTTCACTTGAGCCAGCAACATGACCGTAAGGTGAACAGAAATAAATATAACCGCTTGTTATTGATTAGAATTAAGGTTTATTTTAAAATATATTAATAGCCTTGGTGCGATGCTACCATAAATGATAAGTAATCTCAAAACAGCCGTTGGCTCAAACCGACGTCAACATGTCATTACGGGTATTGGTCAAACGGAGTCAGATACCCTGGTGTCTGGCGTTAGACGAAGCCATTTATTTAATGTATTTTGGCGATAACTTAATCAGTGGGTGTAGATTGTCTGACTTTTTTTTGTTTCTGACCTTTTCATAGGGTTATTTCCACTTTTTAAACATCCTTTCATATAATTAGATAATACCCATCCATAAAAGGACAATACCATAAGGCTTATTGATAGTCTGTCCAACATGACTAATTCCATCACATTTTAAACGATATCAAATAATTTTTTGAATTGTATTCACATGAAAATGTCATTTAACATTAAGGTTTCATCATCTAAAAACAACTTTTAGTCAGATTGGATGCATACATGAACAGCTTGAAACAAATAAACATGACACGATTTTTGAAAGTCTACAGAAAATTTAGAATGTCATTTTCGACCATTGCTGTCAAGCGCGAGTGCGTTTTCATATTGATTCCGAAAGTGTATTGCATCATCTAGCCTGGTTCCCTGTCCCTGTTATGCTTCGTATACTTAGCGACACTAGTGTCATCACGTTATTGACGACAAGCACCGAAAGTGTACTACATCATTACGTTATTGACGGTAAGCACCGAAATTCACGAAATAGTGATATATAGACCCCTTTCTGAGCATAAGCGTTTGGTTTCAGGATGGTGTATTTTGTGTATTGTGTGTTTTTCTATGTCTGTCTAAATGCACTCATTGAAATAAAAATCAAAAATCGCTGAAATTAGCATTTTAAAGAAAATATCGTCGTTCTGTATATAAATCGCCACCTTGGATTCCAGGGGGTACCTCAGTTCACACTTGATTTTATTTAATATCTACACGTTTCCTACCGGTGTCGGGCGAGTTCTAGCTTCGAAAATGATTGAATAACTCCTAAATAACTCTAATTTGCCATATAAAACATGCAGTAAATCAAAACGTCTTCGATGCATAACATTAAAATCGAAAGCAACGGAAATGATGATTTCTTACTATGTAAAGTACAAAGGCGTCTCGGAAATGCGCGGAAAGTCTAGAGAGAACAAGTTTGGCGCGGTTTCTGACCTCTCTAGACTTTCCGTGAAGTTCCGGGACGTCTCTACACTTTACATAGTTAGAAATCATATCTTCCGTTGCTTTCAGTTTCAGTGCTAGTTTCGAGGACGTTTTGGTTTACTGCATGTTTTATACGGCAGATGCAAATCGGCAGACGATTGATTATTCAATCATCTTTAGCTTACCTGAGCTGAAGCTCAAGTGAGCTTTTCTGATCACATTTTGTCTGTCCGTCTGTCTGTAAACTTTTCACGTTTTCGACTTCTTCTCCATAACACTGGGCCAATTTCAACCAAACTTGCCACAAAGCATCCTTAGGTGAAGGGGATTTAAGGTTGTTCAAAAGAAGGGCCACGCCCTCATTCAAGGGGAGATAATTCAGAAATAGTGAAAATTTGGTCGCATGCTTAAAAAACAACACTGGGCCAAAAAAGTTGAAACTTATAGGAACCTTCTTTACATAGTGTAGATTCAAGGTTGTGCGAATCGTGGCCCCTGGGGGTAGGGTGGAGGCCACAACGGGAGAATAAAGTTTTACATAGGAATACATAGGAAAATCTTTAAAAAAAATTCTCCTCAAGAACAACAAAGCCATGATTAGTCATATTGATATGAAAGCATTCTCAGCACGGTAGTGTAGATTCAATTTTGTTCAAATCATGACCCCCGGGGGTAGGGTGGGGCCAAAATAGGGGATCAAAGTTTTACATAGGAATAAATAGGAAAAAATCTTCTTCTCTAGAACAGAAAAGCCCTGTTTAGTCATATTGATATGGAAGCATCCTCAGATAGTGTAGATTTGAATTTGTTAACATAATGACCCCCCGGGGTAGGGTTGGCAACAATGGGGAATCAAAGTTTTACATAAGAATATATAGAGAAAAAACTTTAAAAAATTCTTAAGGATAGCAAAGCCATATTTAGGCATGTTGATATGGAAGCATTCTCAGGTAGTGTAGATTCAAGTTTGCTCAAATCATGACCGCCTGGGGGTAGGGTGGGCCACAATGGGGGATCAAAGTTATCCATACTTATATATAGGAAAAACTTTTAAAATCTTCTTCTCTAGAATATCAAAGCCATGACTAGTCATTTTGATATGGAAGCATTCTCAGGTAGTGCAGATTCAAGTTTGTTCAAATCATGACCCCCTGGGGGTAGGGATGGACCACAATGGGGGATCAAAGTTTTACATAGGAATATATAGGAAAAAATCTTCTTCTCAACAACAGAAAAGCCATGATTAGTCATATTTTTATGTTAGCATCCTCAGCTGGTAGTGTGGGTCAAGTTTGTTCAAATCAGGACCCCCGGGGGTAGGGAGGGGCCACAATGGGGGATCAAAATTTTACAAAGGATTATATAAGGAAAAAATTAAAAACTCTCTTCTCAAGAGTAGCAAAGCCATTTGTTATGTTGATATTGAAGCATCCTCAGTTTAAAATTCACCCCCCTCCATATAAACTTTTCAATACTGAACTGATTTGGGTTTTTTCCTAACCAATGTGCTCAGGTGAGCGATGTGGCCCATGAGTCTCTTGTTAAAGCTAGATCTCACCCGCTAGGAAAGGTGTAGATATTGAATGAAATCAAGTTTGAACAGAGGCACCCCTGGAATCCAAGATGATGAGTTGCCAGCCTTGTGACTTTTTATATACAAACTTATGATATTTTTTTTAAAAAGGCTAATTTCAGCGATTTTTGATTTTTATCTAAATGAGTGTATTAAGGCAGACATAGAAAAACAAACAGCACCCAAAAATACACCATCCTGAAACCAAGCGCCTATGTTTCTGAGTGGCAACCATATACATGTATTTTTAAAAATGTTAAAGCCCTTGCTTCCGCATCAATATATGCATTTATACTAGTTGAAGTCGAGGGTTCCTATGAAAGCAAAAGGATCTATTAATCGAATCTTTATACAGTTTGAAAGTCAAGATATTTAAAGTGACGACACTGATACTGTGGGACGGACTATAAAGGTTCGATATGGTGAAAAGAATTGATTATTTGTCTGTGTGATTTTATTCATTTTCTATTAAAATGTAATCTGTATAAAAACTGTCGACATGATTTTCTAAGTTATATTGGAATTTCAAATTTACATACATGTAATAATGATTGAAATGTTCTACTAATATACAAGTGTATCTATTAACTCTTCTTACTCACTTACTATTCAATTTTTTTTATCAATTTGGAATAAATCAGTTTCAAACAATGCAACGTTTTTTTCACATTCGTTTGTAAGTGCACAAAAGAGAAAAAAACACAGGAAAATGTTTGTCTTTGCTGAAGATATTTTTATTCTAACATTTCTGCAGACTAAAAACATGACATTCACACTGTGACGTCAGAAAAATAATTTACATAACAATATTACATTTTCATTGTACAACGACATGTAATAACTATAAACAAAATGCAGCTGATTCATATCAGAACACGTGCAGTTGAACAATTGAACAACACAAGCAATAGCACCAACTTCCACCGTATTTCACTTAACTATTATAATGTAATAATCAACCATCCCATGACTATCATTCAGACTTCCTTCAACTCAAAATTCAATCATAATTTAAGTTTTAAAAAAGCTTTGGATTTCTATCTAAATAAACAATTGCTTTGTTCTAAGTTCTGTAATCAGTCTCGATCATTATTTCATCATGAATTTATTTTGTGCTCAAAATATATCAGGTTTTCTTTGAAGTAATCAATTATATTTCATACGGACGCATGCACCAATAATAATTGTTCATTCATTTTTGAAAAATTAAATTCTATTAAATATATGCCTAATACATGTATGTACATAGAATATGTAATAGTAATTGGAATGTCACAAAGCAATTGAACACTAAGGATATAAAGGTATTGCTTTGCGTATTAACAGCCCTTTAAAACAAGGCAATATTGAGAGAAAACTATTATTAGAGCATGCATGAAAAGATGATTGAGAAAAGTAAACAATGTCCTATTTGCACCTAAAAGATAATGTTATTTATAGCTACAGAAAACAGCGATAGACTTGACTAATTTAATGTGATTGTGCAATTTATGGGTATAGTTATGACATTAAAAAATCATTATTGTTTATAGTTTTTCCTTCATCAAGATGGGATGACACATTGACATAAAAAATAATCGAAGCATCAGTAATTAACGCTAGTGTAATCAATGTTATCATAACTCATTAACTCAACAATAGTGCAACTAGGAGACAGAAGGTTGTCGATCCATATAAAATAGAAGGCATGGTGCAATGCGAATTTTCAATTGAAAAATAAATAAAAATAAATTATAACTTATGTGTACATCCCAGACCATAACCGTCTTTTGTATAAAGATACACATCTCATACAGATAACAATTCCCCGGCTGTCATCATTCAGAAAAAATAAGATTCAGTCATTTTCCCATACCAGACATCATCAAAAAGAAGTCTCAATAAGATTCGTATTTTAAATATGTTATATAACAAACTGATGTCACAGCCTTAGATTCATAAAAAAGACATAGACAATTACAAGTCAAACAATATAAAGCAAATCCGGACTAAGTAAGATCCTTCCCATTGAGTAAAGGAACTCTGCGTACCAATGAACGCCATCTTGTTCCGTATCACGTGATATGAATGGAATGTATTTTGATAAAGTATGGAACCATCGAAGAGGGCTGCAGGAAAAATGTGCGATTAGTTCACTATTAATTACACCGTAACATGACGTCACGACGCCATTCACAACAATGGTCCCGTCATAAGTCAGAGGTGCATAAACACCATTCACAGTTTGTGACGTCACGTGTGTCACTAGTGACGATCTGATTTCACTATCACCGTCATTGATTAAAACAAACTGACCAGTTTGAACTGTTTGTGCGTAATTTGCAACAAAAGATTCGATAGAGGATGAATTCGTAATAGAAGTATAAATAAGATGTCTGTCGGTAAGAGTTATGGTTCGTAGATCACTTGTGGTAATAGTAAAATACAGTCCACTACGCTTTTGGTCCTTATCGAGGAACGAGACAACCTCACTATAACCAAGTTTCCCGTTGGCTTTTAAGCTTAGAACTTTGTCACCAACTTGAAGATCTTCCATGCTCTTGGTTCCACTATGTTCCGTATACACAGTTGCCAATGGCGGGAAGCATCCTCCAATCTTAATTGCTGCAGAGGAGTCTAAAAATATTTTTGAAAAAGGCTAGGTTAGAAATTGTAATTTCTATCCATTTATTAGTTTTGAGGAATGACAAATTAATGATAAATATTGACAATAATCAATTTTAATTAGAATTTTCCAAGGTACATTTAATCCTCTGCAATAAGGACACAAGTAGTTATAGGCGATTAACAAAATACGTTTAACAGTATTGTGATAATTTTTTCCTAGTTTCTTGAAATTTTATTTTTAAATTAATTCGTATTTGTTTAATTTATCCAAATAATATTGCAATAGTTACAATGTGAATCAATGTAAGTGTTAAACAAGTTATGTCAGCTATCTTTAAAAATCCATGAGTATAATTTAAGAGATACAGCTAACATTGAGAGCAATATCTCCCCAAGTTAACAGTGATAGACGGACAGATGACAGGAAAAATGACACCCTAGGTGGCACTGTGCTTTGCAGAGAAATAAAAGAATTAAAAATTACTTTATCACAGATAAAATATTTACTAGTAATTAATCCAATCTGTGATGGAATGTATTACAGAGTCCCCTTGTTGTCCAATTAATTATACAAAACTACAGAATTTTTTTTATTCCCCAATGTATATACCTTCATTTAAGAAATTTTGGACATTTCATTCTAGTTTTAATGTATTCCAATTTCTCTTTTCCAGTTACATTTAAGTGATACTGATTTAAGTTTATTTCTCGCCCCCTTTTTTGAAAAAAAAATACTTGACGTTTTGTCAACATAGAAATCACTTGAAAAAAGTCTTAGTCATATAAGAGGTCTAAAATTTCTAAATTCATTTATGGATAGACCAAAAACATGGAACTTGGTCTAATTTTCCTTTGATTGCAATGTGTGAACAATCGTTAAATTTAGTATCGAAACACTCGAAATGTGAAATATTTGTTCAAACAATTGATGTTGAGGTGCTATTAGGTTTCAAGAAAAGTTTTAAAAGACTGTTTGCCTTTTCAAGTCAACAAATATTGTGTGAAGATTTCTCTTACAACAGGATGATTCCGTGATTGTTTTTATAGACTTCTGTCAACTTATACGCCCAATTTGAAATTTACTAATAACATTAACTTCTCTTTAGTTTGGATTTCCTTAAGTGATCTTTTACATTTTTTTTTCTGATAAGGCGTCATTTATTAAGCCTTCTAAGAATTTGTTTTAACTTATAGTCATTGAAATATTACGAAATGTAGTAAATTTTGGGAAAAGGAATTATATTACTTAAAAAATAAATGAACATCTTATCGCATTTTCATCTAGCATTTTGAATATCACATCAGTTTGATAAACTTACTGAATCTAAACTATTGGAATAATAAACTCACTAAAACTAGTTCAGTTCTTTAACTAACATGATAAAAAAGTGATTTGCAATTACATGTATACCTGATTTAACAGAGCAATGAATGTGACCCCTGGACTCGAAGTAAACCCAGTCGAATCCTGCTTCCACCGCTAGTTTGGCTAATGTGCCGTATTTGGCTCTGTCCTTGTCGCTGGTTGTGATGTCCACGGCACGCCCTTCGTAATGCAGAGAGTCCTTAGCATGATGACCATCATCATCCCAGGCTTCGGTCACTCGAAGCTTGATCCCCTGCCACGTGTTCATGACTGATATTGCTAAAATCTTTAGTTTGTCTTTACATCTCTAGAAAAGAAACCATTATAGATGTTAACATATCTTTAAGTCGCAAAAACATTATAGTCAATGTAAAGAACAGTTTATATAATCAAAGTCAGTATTAGCTTAAAAAGGGGGTAGTAGGTAGGCTAGCTCTGGGATAAAAAATCCCAGCTTAAGATTAACAGAATATTTAAGGTGTATGACACCATTTTTGACATCCGCATCACGAACTGTTTTCTGTTTCATGAACCAGACGGCAGAGATTCTTAGTCTTTAACACTTTCTTTCAAACCGTATACAATGCTCGCTTTGTGAATTCTTGTATTATAAAAATTTATTGGAAAGTGAAGAGCAATAGATTTCGTTTGAACTAGGATTCAGTCATTCTTCATTCTGAAGTATTAATGCAGAAGAATACGACGACAGATTAACGTGTTTTGAAAACTGCCAGCGGTAGACAACCCGCCAAATCTACAATAATCTCTAAAGTAATTTATTCCAGGACAAGATATTTCCCAATAATGCAGAAGAATTAGAAAATCCGAAAACTGCCGTTTTTATTTCATAAGACTTAAATGCACTTCATATCAATAAAGATGTTTAGACGCTATGGATTACTATACAAACATTCCTGCACAAACCCCTGATTTAAACGACTTACAAATATGTAAATTTAAGTTGGGATTACCATTCCTAACAACCCTATATCTTTGGTTGCCGTAAATACATCTCTTATACGGAATTCCTCGGTATTCATGGTAGCTACACATAAGGCGAGAGGGCGTCGCATCAGCCGAACTCTTATCACCTACTGAATCACTTTATGTACTAGATGATCATTTTTTTTTTGACATACGTATTATGGCTACGATAGAAACATTCTGCCTCAGTGATCTAAAGTCCATTTTTTGTGTCCGCTAGTCATTTACATGTTAACCTAGTCGTCATAATATGATAAAACAAATAACAAAAATTTGAAAAAAATAAATATTTACTATGTTTTGGAGGGAAAAAGAAATGTCGAAATTTAATATGGACCACCGTTTAATAACAGGAACCATTTTGATTTTTTTTTTTGTTTTAACCGCATAGTATACATAAATTTATTTGATGTCTCCTTTATGATGGAATGGACAAGGGCTCCCTTTCCCTTTATAGGTAGTTTTATAGGTAGGTACTTTAGACTGAAAAATAAACATGGAGATCAAACGGGTGAAGTAAACAAGCTAGGTTTGAAGTAGAAGTACTATAAATATTGAGTAAAGACATTGTACACCGTGCCTGGTCAATATCGCTGCCTCTCCCAATATAAGAGTGGGACAATTGTTTGTCTTTCGGTAATTATTATATTTATATAAAATTTTAAGTATATGTTGGAATATTTCACTTCGAATTGCCTTTAAATATTGAAACGGATATACCCCATCATATAAAAGTATGTTGTATTTCACTTTATGTGTTCAGTTTAACTTTTTGTTGTTGACTTAGTAATATCGTAAAAAATCTTTAAATAGTAAGATCCAACATGTTTGCAAAAGACAGATCACTTTCTCATGAGGCTCTTAAAAGCTGCGCTGAGCAAATAGTTACTGAAAAAATGTCGGTTACATCAGAATGTAGTATCAAGAAATCTTTAGATTTTGTGTTATATTTACATTGCCATAAAAGTAAACTAGAGAAAGCGACAAGAAAACGAGATAGGAAAAGTTAAAACAGTTTTCGCATGCCGAAAAACACCGCTCACAAATCAGACTATTTGTAGGGGTATGATTTATTGCGGGAAAATGAAGTGCGCTCGATGAGAGTCGACAAATACCGATCTGTGATAATAAACGGCATCGCTTATGTCACAGTGCAAGCGAGTAGCATTGGCGGAAGTCTTGCTTGCGCATTTCGTCGCTAGGATTGCTGTACTTTGAAAAATGTCGATATAACAAGTCCGAGAGGTGTTTTTATTAAATGAAGTCAAACAGTGTTATCCGGGGATCTGAGTTAAGTGATCTGTGTTTGAGTTGAAGGTGTACGGGGCTAACAACACATTTCATGTTTGGCACGCGGACCGGCAGTAAAACTGCGCCATCATGAGATGCAAAATCCGCAAAACACACGATTAATTGCACTGCATGTTCTTTTCTTCATTAGTTTGTTGAAAGAGTCAATATTTTCTCAACTAAAATAACTTTTCCATTCTAAATATAGTGCCTATTCTTTTGAAAACTTATTCATTCTTTAAACTCCGTACAAATATATTCCCATAAGAGTAACCTTACAAAAATATTAGTGAAAGGTACAAATTGTTTTATGAGAAGGCTCGCAATGATTTTAAGCATTGGCTATTTTATTAACGATTCTTTTAATTGTGGTTTGTTGATTAACGACTTAATTGATAAAACATAAAATACTTGTGATGATAAATTCATTGAGTAATGCTTTATGCATTATACGAAATTAAAACACCTGGACCAGTAAAAGAGCATCGGATTTAACCCAGGTGTTTAGTAATTAACGGTTTCTTAACTTGAACTCATTATATAAGCTCATTAATTGTATTTGAAACAAATTTAAAGTTTGTCAAGTTTGGATTTGTGTGTTCAATCGCAAATCGTACAAACAAAATCCGATACAGCACGTTTAATCGTATTAAAGAGGTCGTACAAATAAACTGTTTTAAAAAAGATAAGGAGGTTGATTCATACGTTAAGCTCAGTCCCGCCTCAGTACTATGTGTCAGATTAATATAAAATTTGGCTTTTTGAGCCCGATTAAAAAACAAAGAAAACGTTGTACAAATATTTTGAATATTATACTAAAAAGAAATCTAAGACAAAATACATTTCAATAAGAGAGAGAGAGAGAGAGAGAGAGAGAGAGAGAGAGAGAGAGAGAGAGAGAGAGAGAGAATGGATTTAATTGCATGTCTTCATCATTTTGACTCGCACCTGTTTGATGAAAATGGAATTTGAATTACATTTCTAGTATGTGACTGTACACATTAGATTATGTCATGAAACAGGATATTATATTTTCTATCAAAGCTAACCCAACAGTTCTGTAGATTAAATCTTAATTTTTCAACAACGGTTGAAAAATTAGCTTGTCTATTCCCAATTTATTTTCCTTGAATCTCTTATACTATTCAACAATAAAAAGATGGTCCACTTTTATCAGGGATTACTAAGGTGTTGATTAAAACATTTTTAAAAAAATGTCCAAAGTGCAGACAAAAATAGACAAAAAGAAATCTAGCAAGATCTGGGCACCAGGAAACATGTCTTCCTATGTGCATATCGTAGATGGGGTTTGAAAATGCACTTTGCGGCAAGACGCGGGTATTAGCCTAATCCATTGAGAGACTTTGTCTTTAATCATTTTAGAACCTTGTCCCTTTAAGCAGCAATGAACAACTTTTTGAGGTCTTAATTCTGACTGTGTCGCTTCTGATCATACTCGTTCCTCCGTGACCTTGCAAGAGACACTCTTAATTGTTCAAAAAAGCAACACGTACCTTCCCAAGCATCTCACACATTTTCCATTGTGTTAAAGTCAATGATTCCATGGTCTGGTTTAATATTACGATACAAGATAAAGTAGCCTTTTGAATTAAGTGGAGGAATTTAATTTGATTGAATGTTTTTACAGTCCGGATTGATCGAGGTTGGCCAGTTTGACTTTGTCATTAATTCCTTTCTCCGTTATCTGAATTTTATTTTAATTATACAGGAATTCGTAAACTTTGAGAGCATTAAAGTAGCTAAATTACTTATTATATTATCTTTTAAAATGATAATTTTGTCCTGAATAAGAATTTAAATTGAAAATAGATAAATAAAATCTGTTGTCGACTGATATTTTAAAAACTGGAATATAGCGACGACTGTTCTTCGAATTTTCATGTATACTACTTGTAGTAATGTCTAATATAGTGACATCCCTTTTTATCCTACATTCATAGATTTATAGGAATTTTGCTGTTAAAGTAATAAATAAATGTTTAATTGCTTAGTTTAAATAAATTACAAAATTGTTAAGTGATAAATTTTCAGTATGAATTGCTAGATTCTTCGTGTTTGTTGGCGACTGATATCATGACGACCCTTGGACAACCTTATATATCCTACCCTCGCATTCTGCCTCCTGAAGATTTCAAAGAATCCCTCTGAAGGAAGATTTAGAACATTTGCATTTTAACAAAACAAGCGGAGTCCACATGCCATATTGCTAGATTATCATACATTTATACAGTTAATAAAATGAAAGAAAGGGCAATACATGAACGTGTAGGCAGATTAAGTTGTTAAAATTTGCACATGAATGTAGCTGAACAGGTATCAAATGTGATAAGCTAAATGTTCAACCACCATTTACTAGGTTTTCTGGAAAGTTAATTATCAATTTGACAAAGAAGGGGTCATTCATTGATAGAAATTTAAACCTCTTGACCAAAGAATACAAAATTAAGTTTAGCTACCCTCTGAGGTATCTAACAATACCTACACATTTAGAGGACTATTTCGCACTAAATCTCTAGCAATTTCTTCGCAGTAGTAGTAGGTGCGACAGAAAAATATAAATTGTGGAGAATTTATTGTATTTCAAAGATTTTTTTCTTAATTTAATCATGCTGTAAATATAGTTTTCTTTCATATTTTCTTCATATTTTAAACAAGGTCTCTGCAAGTGGTCTTGAGAAAAAGATCATGCTGGACGAACCTATTATTAATCAAACATTATGGAAATAAAATGGGAGAAAACATTTAACTTTTAATAAGTGCGTTGACGAAATGAACAAATATCGTGCTAACAAGAATTGTCATTCGGAAGCTTTACAGATGTCAATCAATTTCGATCGTCTGGTACAATCAGTAATAAAGCGTCCAATTGAATCAGATTGATAAAGACCATGATTAATCACAAGTGACCTTAAATTAAGGATCAATTTCTCGTACTGGGTATCATGTGTAGATATTAATAGAAAAAAAGGAAACTTCGCATGCTAATGTGCTTACATGATATCTAGAGAATAAAGCCAGTGAAAGATAATCAATTTTAAATGAGTACAAATGTAATTTTGGAATACTTTTTAGAAAAAAAGACTTTGTGGAAGGTGTATAAAGAAATGCATAGAATTTGAAATTTTGACCAATAGTAAAGAACATACAAATTTTTAGGTATCGTATAAGCAGAAATTTTAGCGAGGAGTCAATTTTGGCATATTTATGGAGGTGCTAGATTGCTTAAAATGAATATCGCTAAAAATTCCTTCCGCACTGGAGGTTACCATTAGGTTTCTAGATCTCAAAATCGCTTAAATTACTTCTCGCTATAATGACATACCTCTTTCTCATCAGGACAAATCGCTAAGTTTACGTCTCGCTAAAAAATTCTATTTTTGTGCTGTTTTTAAAATGTATGTGGCATTTATAATTTGTAAATATAAGCAATAAATTTTGAATGAAATAAATCTCTCAGGAAATTTATGTAAATGTACGATAGTATAACGTGACATAAAGTAGCAATTGCACATAACACATGAATTTTCATCTGTAGGTAATAAAAATTAATTCATACCTCGTTATCCATCATCAACAACTTCTCGCTAGTACAGACAGGGTATAAAAAGACGGAATGCTTATATTCAAACATAATTAAAAGAGCACGTATTTCGAATTTGATGCACTAAAAACACTTAGAGAATTTGGTTGCAACTTCATGAATGGGTGGTAATGCAAAAACAATAAGACAGTTTTGATTCTAAGTTGTACATTGAAAAAAAAATCCACCTTACAGATGAGAATTTGAAACAGAAGTTTTATTTGACTTTTGAGGGGTAGCTGTTAGAGTTTAAACCAGCAATATTTGGGTTGTCAGAGTACCTCAATAAAACAGAATTTGTTGACCTGTTTACCAAATCATACTTTGTCATTGATTTTTGTTCGCTTGTTTTGTGTCAAGTAAACTCATTGTTAATCATTTTGACTTTTATTTCGTCTGCAGCCCAATGTGTCACGTGGCGTCTGAGCAAATTATCTTCTGCTTTTGAGATACAGTAAAGGAAATTGCATTAAGGTTTATAAATGTCAGAAGTAAAAGGAATAATACAGAGGGATCTTTGAAAAACTCAAAACATTGGATAGTGGAAAACAAGTTATCGCAAATGTATTGCTATTAAACTTATCTTCACAAAAGCGTTAACAAAAATGATCTATATACTACTGTAGAAGTTTTATGAAGTGCGTTTGCGCTGGGGAATATTAGTCAATGACTTTTTATCAGCTCCGCCGACATGAAGCTCGAGCAGCCGACGGATAGTATGTCCTACGTCCCGTCATTTTTGATGTCCCAATTGAATGAAAAAAATGATGCTTATTAATAAAAAGGAGTTTATATTGTCCGCCGACTTATCTTAAATTAGTATGAATCATACATTCATGAATAAGTGCACTTTCAAATCATCGAAAGGCGTCTTGAAATAAATACACTTTGTATTATTTCAGTCTTCTGTCTTATTGGTATTGACAAGAAGAAAATACAAAAAAACAGCATGATGCAAAGTCTGTTTTGTAGAAAATTTTCAAAATCTTTGTAAACAGAAAAGTCATTAAGCGCAACATTGTGTTAATTATAGAAACAATAATTCACAGCAATCATTTCATTCAAAAATATTTCCCAAGACGCCACAGTAATTGAATCGTATACATTTGAAATGAAGCTACTAAACGCCTTCTAGCGATTGACAAATCAGATGTTGTGGATATTAAATTTAATTGTACATCGATCCCGAGGCAAGAATATTTCTGTCTACATGTTAGGTATCAAACCATCTACGAAGCTAGGGGGTAACCACAAGTTGATTTGAACATAAGCTGTTGTTAAGTTCCGTTACAAATTTTCATTAACGCAGAGATTAAAAATTATCAACACACGTTTCTTGTCTGCATTTACTAGCTTAGTTAAAAGTCTAAGACTTTTATATCAAGTAATTTACAAAATCCTGACGCTGAAGAAAATTAAAACATTTATTTTGAGGATTCAGAACATTATAGCCATATTAGGCTGGTAGTGAAATAATTGCAATACTGTTTATATATCATGTAGTTCAGGAAATTGCAATAATTTTCACAATGGGTGGAAAATTAGGAATAATGAATTAAATTATTCATTTCTTTATTAATTTCTTCCTAATCCAATGAATAACTGAAATCACCAGTAATAATGACATCAAGTTCCTTACTTAATTAGTTACTTAATTAGTTCGTTTTGTCTTCCTCTCATGCAAATTGACATTGATAAGTCATAGTGCTATTCTCCCCATATAAAGCCAAGACAAGGCTGAATTTATCGGCATTTTTCACAACTGTATTCTAAGTCAGATAGGTATATATATTAAGCAAAAAGAGACAAAAAAGTGCGAAAACAGTGAAATTAGTCTAGCAGGAATCTGACCTATCATTCACACTTATAAAGTGACAACCGTTTTTTCCTTAGATTTTTAAGTAAGAGAAAATCGATGTAAAAGTATCAGACCTGAAATCGTAGATTAACCAGGGAGACACTATTAATACCATTTTGAAAAAATAACTTGGAACAGAACCAATTATCAACATATTATAGTTAGTGATATATTTCAAACTACGGAAACAATCTGTAAATCGTTACAATAGGCAAAAGAAGTACATGTTCAAATGAATTAAGGTCAATTGATTTTTTGGAAAATATTTTTTTTAATTATGGTAACAAATTTAGAAAGAAAACGCTTAATGTATCTAAATACGTAACCATCGAACGCAAGACAGGACCATAAAAAACCCTAACCCTCGAGAAAAAAAAAGTGGAAATGACATTGACGTTGCATAATACAGGTTTAGCATTTCCTTGATGTTGAGGCAGGGTTAAGATAATTAGTATACGGCGGTAATTCATTTACTTTACAAGAGCTTTAATGGCTTTCGCATATCCTAATTCGTCAGATTTACTTGTGTCGTTGGATTAGGGACATGAAAAGGGTTTTGTTTTACTTTCCAAATCCGGGAATTAGCCATCGGATCTACACTAACTTATTAAAAAGGGAAACACAACAAAAAGTGAAAGTCTACCTGTGTCATGATTCGGTCAGAACCGTCTCCCTCTTCATCTCGGAAAATGATGTCCGGGTTGTCATTTGTTACCAGCTTTTTGAATTTTGGGTCGTCCCTTGTTATGCGCCCCTCTGCCAAGCCGCTGGCACCGAGAGTATTTTCCGAGACGTTCGGCACATGTTGTTTATACACTAGTGGAGTCCTATTACCAGTTCTGTGCCTCCTCCCGGACCCCCTAGGGGAGGCGCACTGCAAGGAGGATCCAGTAAGAATAAGAAACGCAAAAACTGCTGTTTGTAGCGCTGAGAGAACCGCGGTAGATCGCATACCTATGTCCCCTGGTCTGCGTTCGATGATGATTGCGAGTAACGTCACTTTCACGCTGACGACCGTGGTAACTCTCGCACCTGTATATAAGCCTTCATGGATTTCTCTGGATTTTCTCTGTAATACATTTTGCTGTTAATATAAAATCATGATTCAATTTTTGAAAACTTCCGAGGTTTAATGAGTTTTTTTCTCTTGTGGTCCACAATCTCTTTTCTCGCTCATTCGTACAATAGTTGTTCCTATTTATTCATTCATTCTTCACATAATATACTATAACAGTACCACACTAATCATAAAGCACTGATGGCGCAGTTCAATATATCTATATTAATATCCTTAAGTCGCCGTCACTGTCTGTAATAATCCAATAGAAGGGATCTGATTGGTTATGGGTGTGTACATGCCCTGCTCCTTGTATTTTTTCCCCTCTTTCACCAGTGATTACATCCTTTTTAACTGTTTAACAAGCCACTAGTAGAGTGAATCAGATAATTTGAACCAATAGAAATCTACCCAGTCCATAAGTTCACAGCCCACTTTAAAAGACCGTACATCTGTCAATCAGTTACATCTTCGTGCTTTATCTGATAAAAAATCCTTCTTGTTTAAAATCATTAAATCCACCTTCTCCGGGCCTTTCACTTCATAATTTTCTGCGACACTCAAATATTGAGTTCTAACCGCTTTGAAGTTCACTAAATTATATTTTTTCAGCATTTACATCTGTAGAATTATTTTTGGTGAAGGTTTTCCATTTTTTCCCAAATAAAGAATTCCTGAAAATACAATTAAAATCCACATTTTACAAATGTTGTATCATATTTAAAGTATAAAGCAAAAAAAAAAAAAGAATAATAATTTAATGTACCGAAGTAGCAATCCGATTACAAGCTTAAAAATTTATTCGAAATTTAATTCAATTTACCGACTGGCTATAGGCTTTGTGACAGTTCATTGAAATGATTGACATCTATAAATGTAGAAAGAGTTAATATAAAAAGGAATTAGATTTCTGCACCACGGATCCTTATTTAAGAAATTCTCTCTCCTTTCGAAGCCAAGCTCCAGAAATGATAAAATAATAATTACATTAGATGTTATAATCTGAAGGAATTTCTTGTACAAATTTGGACCTATACAGTGGATTATCAAAGTCACAAAGAAAATGATCACAAGTTTTAAGGGACGATCTTCGTTTTCCCACACACCTCAAAAATCACATATCTTTCGAAACACCGTTTTTATGACGACACCAAATACTTCTTTTTATAGAGAAAAATCTATATTGAAGAATGGCAACAGCTCATTATAAAACTATAAATGTCTGAGTAGCATTCCTGATAGCCATTTCTATCGTTATTCTCTCTACACTTATCACTTCATACAGTAATCTCACTGTTCCTGTAAAATTGGCCTCCAAAAATATAACAAACGAAATTAAAATGTCGTTAAAACTGTACCCCGCAGCAGATATCCAAACTTCAAATGATTTTGATATCTTAACTAATTCGCCGGAGAATTACTTTTTCTTATAATACTTCAAACAGCAAAAAGTCGGGGTTTATTTAATCTTTCTCTCACTCTTTCTAAAGCGGGTATCACTATGCGATCGAAGTTTGTATTCCAAGAGAAAAGACTAGGAATTACATATATATTTGTAACTTATTACTGCATCGTCCGACGGTTTATGGGGTCCATGTGTTATGAGAGCGACCTAGGCTCGAGACGGAAAGGGAGATTTAAAGACACCTCTCCGCATGACGTAGCTGTCCACAGATCTCTGGTCGCAAAAAGGAGTGTAAACAAATTGGTCACTTAATAACAGTTAAATAAATATTGTAAAACTGGGAATATCAATTCAGATTTCTTTAAATACAAACCTGGGCAATGAATTTTAATTTTCAAATATTTGTTCATTTCCAAAAATTAGGCTCTCTGACCATAAATTCTTTTTACATACACCTATTTGAAAAAGAATTTGATTTTCAAACACTTCAAACAAAATTTTCTCGTGATCAAAAGTTAGCTATACAAATCATGTTCTTGTGTTATTGTACGGTTTAATTACCAGCAGGGCAGTGCAATACACTTTCATTCTTTGAAAGGCATCTGCGGTGGGATCGTTCACAAAATACAGATGTGTGATAATTAAAACTGCCAAATATGGCCAACCCAGAAAAAAATCTCAATAGTAAAACTGACGTCTTGCTTTCAATGTGGAACGAAACGACCGTCTCAAATGACCCCCTCAAATGTTTAACCCATGTATAATTGAACCATAAACTTTCAATGTTAAAATGCTACCATTCTCTTCAGTAAAATGCGTAGATGCTCAAAATAATTTTAAGTTCTATTAGTGATATCTGGCCTCTAGAACAATGCCAATTTTACAATCCATATTTGGAACTCCATTGTAATCAATTTATCTTCATACATGTCTGGCAAATAGCGTTAGAAAATTCTACCTGCAGGTAGCCTTTTTGTCCAATACAACGTGCTTTCTGCCAAAATATGCTTTTCAGTAAACAATTTTACCATAACTATCTCTTACTAGATCGCACATTAAGCTACCAATAGGCATTTGTATTTATTTTCATTAGCACATAAATAATCCCTAATTCCGCCATTTCACTAACTTCCGGTTGCATTACGTAATGTTGTCCCTTCGTCGCCAGTCGTTCTTAATGAAATTATTGATTAAGTATTTCAAACTTTCTAATTATTTCTTTTTAGTCACATATGTACGAACATTAAACTTTTATTAATGTAGAAATCTGTATCTTTAGTTTCTAATTCAATGACCATCTAATGACATCTATAGCATCATCAACTGGCTCCTTGCATAACATTTTTATGACTGTAACGCAATAAAAATCGTCGTTTATTTCATTGTTTTCAAATTAGTCACTATTCTATAATGACCTCTTTCATTAAAAGAAAATGGTTATTTCGGACATAAAGGAGAGAATTCAGAAGCACAGAGTAGCCTAGGAATTCATAGTTCTTTACGAATAAAAAAAATGTTTCAGAGTATATAATCATAACCAGTCCAATTTACAACGAGGCAACGCATACTCTTGTAAACTCAGACGTCCACATCATTGGGGCGGGGGCGAGAGAGAGAGAGAGAGAGAGAGAGAGAGAGAGAGAGAGAGAGAGTATTGGACACTCTTAAGGTACATTGATCCTCTGATAAGCGAGATAACTCTCCCCACGGAACATGTAAATTACTTAATTCCTTTTCCTGCCGTTAGGATGAGCGCAGTTGCATTTATTTCCAATACCTTCATTAATATGTAAAAGTTAGATCCACCTCTTCAAACTAAATGATGGAAGGCTAAAAATCGTGCGCACTCAGTCTAGACTGTAAAGTAACATCTTTCGTTATATGTTAGTTTCACTTCATCACGGAATCTAATTAGGAAGGTTCCAAATTCTTTCAGTACCAAACTTTATTCATACACTACTACAAAACCCTTATTTTACTATTCTACAACAAAAGGTGGGGGGGGGGGGACCAGCCTTTCAATTAACATTCAAATTTTCTTTTATGATCTCTGCAAGAACTAAATCTTAATCGCCTTTACGTTTAATGGTTAGTCCGCCATTATGGCCTGGAACTGCGATAGCGAAGGAATTCTGGGATTCTTGCACACAAGATTTGCTTTTTGAATGTGCAGATTTCAGCTCGAATTTCCTCTGTTCTTACTTCTTTGTCTATTGAGCCCGCATGTAGAAAGTGAAACTCATGTCTCATTCAAGGAATTTATATTTTCTTTAATTCAAAATTATTGACAAATGGAAGCATACAAAATAAGGTTCCTGCTTAGATACTTTGTATTTTATGCTTCTTTTCGAAACTAAATACTGTTTCATTCCATAAATTAAAAAAAAAACATCTTTTAAAATTCCTCCGTCAGCCCTCGCCCCTGTTCCATCCTCAGTTTGCTCTGAACCGGAGGAGGGAACCTGAAGGCGGTCCACGAACCCTGCTTCATCCAATTTTCCACATCAAATGACCCCTACCTACATGCACGCGTCAGATTTGTATTAAAAGTTATCTTTCTCATTTAGAAGAACAAACAACTGTATGACTAACAATCATAAATCATGAACTTATAACCATATGCCTGAACGTTAACCTGACCAACTATGTTGTCTAAATCGGAGCAGACTCTAATTTCCTACGGAGACTAGTTAATTACTAATACATCACTCAACGTGATGTACTACAATGAGAAAGGAACAATAATTGGCAACGATCCTCAGTCTAATACGAATGTTAAATTCGATAACTTGGTTTAAAATTTCCAAATATTTGCCTTTACTGTTCATTTTAAGTTGAAATATTTCAAATTTGGTGTTACTGTTGAATAAAAATAATATGAATTACTTTATATATATATATATATATATATATATATATATATATATATATATATATATATATATATATATATATATATATATATATATATATATAATAACAGTTCTTACATTGGTTCTTCCTGAAAGTGTTACCGTTCACGGTAGCTCAGTCGGTAGAGCGCTCGCTCCGTGATCGGGAGGTCGTGAGTTCGAATCTCGGCAGTGACTGACCTAAGTCGATAAAAAATAGGAAGCAACTGTTCCTTCGCCATGCTCTCGGCAATTTGAAGTGAAAGTTGCGGGTCCTTCGGATGAGACCTTAAAAACCGAGGCCCCGTGTCACGGCAGGCGTTGGCACGGTAAAGATCCCTCACTGCTCAATGGCCCTAAGTGCTGAGTAAAGGTCAAAATTTGAAGCCCTTCACCGGTATATGGTGACATCTGTATATGAGTGAAAAATTCTCGAAAGCGACGTTAAACAACATACAATCAATCAATCCTAAAAGTGTTGGTATACAATATACTACTTTACGGTTCCCAAAATCTTTCAGAAATACGTTTCTGATCGTTCAAGACTTCCTAATTGAAATGAATAGATTTTAAGCAAAATAATCTGAAATAATATTATTGAATAATTATTTGATCTAAGTTTTTGTTTGATTAATTTATCAGCGGAAAACTAATCTGCATGTGTTCTGGTAAAAAAGTTTTGCTTTATACAACTTGCAATTTTGTTGTTTTACACGCATATTCCAGTACAACAGTTTAATCCACACTGTGCTAAAATTGTTTTCTTTCGCAGGATCAACCAAAAGGTCAATAAGGGAAAATGTCTCTTTTTTTTACACAACCAAAGATTTGGGCACGCTGCATTAAATTCACTGTGTTATTTTTTTCTTTCGATGTATGGGTACAGTAGTTCTATCTCTGGGCAATCAAAATACAACATCTAACGATTATTTCTAAGTCAAACGACAAAAGTTACAAACCTGAAAATTGCATTGGCCGGTGTGAGAAATTTCTGTTTTTTCCCCGAGATAACGACCAGGTACATACTTTTGAAAAGTGTGGGTTCAACAATTAAGACTATATATATATATATATATATATATATATATATATATATATATATATATATATATATATATTAGGAATGACTCTAATTCTTGGCCATATTATTCAAGTATAACCTGGTTTGGGTCAGTTTACGCTTTATAATCCGCGAAGCGAATTTGGCCAAGAATTAGAGTCATTCCTTATAATTTAATTTTAAAATCATTAAATAACTATGGGTGTAAAATTTCGTTGCTTTTTATAAGTTCAAATTTGCTGCTCAATAATACAACCGTAGTAACGGAAGTGATGGGAAGCGAGGGGAGGTAAAAACTGATACATAGGCCTAGCAGCC